CAAAACAGGGGCAGGGATTACTGGTCCAGTGAAGTTGAAAGGCTCAAAGAATGGTAACAGCGTTGATCTCTCCTCACAGCAGTGGACATATCAGGTCAGTGCTATCTATTGTGTACCTTGAGGCATACATTATTCCATTGATAATGCTTCTTGAAGGCCAAGGGAAGTCATCAATAGAAACAGACATATATACTTCCCTCTTTTTTTTATTTTTTTATCACAAAATAAAGTCTACAAGCTTGACAAAGGGAAGAATAGGTAGATGATAGCCTCCAAAAGGATTATTACATGCAATGAGTATTCAACTTTCCTGTTTTCTGAAATCATGACGGCAGATTGGACTTAAAGGAGAAGATTCAGGTCTGTCTACTGGTAGTTCTTCACAATGGGTTTCACAACCTGACTTGCCCAAGAACCAGCCACTGATATGGTACAAGGTAATCTTAATTAATATATTGTTGTGGGCTATTCAAATATCTTACCGTATTACATCACAACAGAAATAATAAAAGCACAAATCATGCAGCTATTATGCTGGTTATTCTTGTATCACACGCTGTACTATTTAGATTTGAATCAACAAATATGAATTTATGGCACAATTTTTTCATTACATCCATTTTATCTTAAGTATATGGATTTCCATTAACCTATTCTACTTAAAATAGTTCTGAATAGCATAGGTACGTGAAATCAACTTCTCAGGTTCTAATAAGTAATATTTCATATTCAGACAAAGTTTGATGCCCCTGCTGGAAATGACCCAGTTGCTTTAGACTTCACTGGGATGGGGAAGGGTGAGGCATGGATCAATGGACAAAGCATTGGACGTTATTGGCCAACCTATATCTCTCCAAAAAGTGGCTGTACTGACTCTTGTAATTACAGAGCAGATTACAATCCAGACAAATGCAAGAAGAACTGTGGGAAGCCATCCCAAGAACTGTAAGTGCTAAAGATTCCACATAGGGAAATTTGAAAATTCAAAAATAATTTACCATCATATATCCTTTTATCAGATATCATGTACCCCGCTCTTGGTTGCAACCAAGTGGCAATACTCTTGTTTTGTTCGAGGAAATTGGTGGGGATCCAACACAGTTAGCTTTTGCAACCAAACAGACAGGAAGTTTGTGCTCCCATGTATCAGAATCTCACCCATCACCTGTAGATATGTGGGGCTCAGAATCAAAAACAGGAACGAAACCAGGGCCTACTCTGTCACTTGCATGCCCGTTTCCAGACCAGGCTATTTCTTCAATCAAATTTGCTAGTTTCGGGACTCCCAGTGGAACTTGCGGAGGTTTTAGCCATGGTAAATGCAGCAGCCCAAAGGCACTTTCTATCCTACAAAAGGTGATCGTGCTCACTCTAAATTAGAGTTTCATCTAACTCTTCCCTGCACAACTAGTATGGTTGCTATGCATCTTAAAACTCATATTAAATTCTACAGGCTTGCATCGGATCAAAAAGCTGTAGCATTGCAGTATCAACTGGTACATTTGGTGACCCATGTAGAGGAGTAATAAAGAGTTTAGCAGTGGAAGCTTCCTGCACGTGAAGAAATGTGCTAATGCAATTTGGTGTGCAAGTCAAGCATTCTACCCGATCACGTTTCGAATCAAATAAGGTTTTCAACAGCTTGTCTAAGTAAAATAGCCCCCAAAACATAGATATAAGGGGTTTCATACATCAAAGTGTATTCTGATTAAAGCACTAGAAATGTAAAAATGCATCCTTTAGCAGCATGCATGCCTTCTTTGGTGGCAAAAGAATGGAAAGCCAATTACTGTATGTTGCCTGGAAATTTCTATTGAATCATATGCATGTGTTTCCTGCATCAATCATTTCCAGAATAAACTGAGGTAATGTAAACAGGAAATTTGAACTTAAAACCTCTCAACATTTTGTTTTCCATCGAAATATATTTATATTTACAAAAAAATAAAGTCCAGCTTGCACAAGACGAATTGTTAAATAAAGAAAAGATCCTTTATTTTGTTTTTCAAATACAACAAGAAGCTGAAACATGATACATAAATTTAGACCTTTATTTTAGACAAATTCAAACATTTTACAACAAAGAATGAACTTTACAATTATCCCACGGTACAGAAGGAGAAAAAGGAAGTTTCCATTATATGGTAGCGAGAGCAGCAGCTTTCCTTTGGAACCTGCAAACTTTGCATGCAGCCGTGAACAACGACGGTGTCTTGTATTTATCTTCCCCTCCCATCATCGGCATAGGAACTCCCCTCTTCACAGGGCTGACGTAGTCCGGCCTGTAGGTCTTGCCCAAGATTCCTTCCACCTGATCCGTTAACCCTGTAAATTTGAACTGCGTCTCTAAATGGGCGAAGGCATCACCGGCCGGTAACTGGTAGTTGTGAACCTTGTTCTCTTTCTCCCCGATGGGCCTCACTCTCACATCCATTTCCAGCAACCCCGTCACCGTCACTTTCACGCTGTTGGTATTGTCTGTTCTTTCCACTGCTACTTCCCTTTCCCCGCTCTCGGCCTTCCACTCGGCGTTTCCCTCGGTGGGTATTTCGATTGCTTGGCCGTCCCATTTGATGGAGAGAGCGTCGACGTTGTCGTCCCATTGGGCGACTCTGTTTGCGGCGATAACGAGTGTGTGAGAATCGAACATAATGGCTAGGGTTTGTACCCAAGTGAAATCGCGAGTCCGTCCTTCGGGCCGAGTTCCGATTAGGTGGGCGTTGATTTGGAGGTCATCATCCGATACGATTGCGAAGTTTCCTCCTTTTGCGCCGTGGAAGTAGAACATCACACCGTCACCGCCGACGAAGCGTGGGTCGTAACACAGAGACCCATACCCATCGCAATTCGCCTTTCTCCCTGTACAAAGAGCAAGAAAATCTCAGCTCGGAACCATTCAGAAAGGCAGAACAAAACAGATGGTAAGCAACTTACACTTGCAGGTGACTTCACACTTGCTGCTGCAGTCGATGAAGCATCCTTTATGCTTCTTGTTATGCTTCGGCTTCCTCTCCGAGCACTGCGAAGGACAGGTGAGAATTTTGTTGTGGCAGGCCCCTCTTGCCAAGCACAGAACCTGTTCGTGCCCTGTTTTTGTAGGTGACAAAAGTTGGTAATGGGTTGAAGCAGCGTCAAGGTTTCTCTTGCTGCTGCCATTCCCTTGGGCTGCTTGAACGTGGGTGGCTTCCATGGAAATGAGCAAAAGAAGAACATAAGCCAAAATGCATGAGAACTGTTTTTTATCCATTTCTGTCCTTAACATTCAAGTGTTTGTAGATGTGTTTGTTAATGTCTCTTCTTCTGTTCTTCAAATGATATCATATTGAGAAGAGATTGATGTGAAGTTGGGGTGCTAGGGCCTGGTACATAAAGACCTGCTTGGTGGCAACTTGGCCTTGGAGTTCGGCTGAAACCATGTCAAATTTCTTCCTATTCCATCTCTTCTGAAGTTAGAGAGCAGCGGCAAAACAGCTCTTCTGCCATCCCCCATTTTTTTTCTTTTTTGGAGGAATCTAGCCACTAGATCAATGGATTTGACTAAGTTAATATCATTTTAGACTTTCTCAACTTGGAAAATACGTAACTAATCAAATAATTTATATGTAAAATCCGTTGGGTTATCACAAATAGTAAAGAGTTATGAGAACCATGTTAAGAACGGAGATTGTAATGATCTCTTCACTATCATTTGGGTACAAACATTTCCTATACACCACGCCCTATCTCCCTTAAGATGGAAGCTTGTCTCGTGGCTGTGGATGAAGACTTTGTAAGTGTTTATAGAATTAGTTGAGTCAAAAGTATACATATATATGTTATTAAAAAAAATAAATTAACATTCATTTTTAATTTGTCTTATATAGACTCTTAATTTGCATTGTAACAAAACCATGTTGTATATTTGATCCATAATCTAATTTTTGTGAGTCTATGGTTGCCTCAGACTACACTCTTAAATTGAATAGATTAGTAAAGTCATTGCAATGTGCAAGAGTTAATTTATGGTGTTTATTGAATGGGATATAATGGTAGATTTTGTTTGAGCTGCAGGGTTGTTGCCATATGCAAGCATGAAGTTGCCTGCTCTAGAAGAAACTAGCTCAACTAGTTCTACAAAATGCAGAAACAGGGGGTAACTGGTGATGTTGCTTTCCTTCCTAGATTCTATGTGCTAAAATTCCGATTACGCTACGTGTGCATGTGATTATATATAGGCCTCTTAAGTCTGCCTTGGATACAATAATTGTAATTAAGGATGATCAACATCAATATGTACTATCCTTTTGCTTTCTTTATATATGCTTGAGAAACAAACATTTGAGTTTTCTTGAACTTGTGTGAATTCAAAAACAAATATTTAATTTGATTAAGTTGTTTGTAGAAGTTGACTTCGAAAATTGAACGTGATGATTTGACTACAATATAAACATTCGGATCAACTTTTTGATCAACATGTTTTTTTTTTAATGAATATTTCAGATGAATTGCTTTGATTAAAATTGGTGCAATTTCTTCATATCATAGTCTTTGATTCCTCTTGATAAATTAGATTCTCAATATGTAAACCTTGATTAAGAGGAAAATCCTACCAAAGTCTGCATAATATGTTTAGACAGCTTCACGATCCAACACTGTTAAAGTCCTTAACTGCTTCTACACTTGAAATTCCCGAGGATGTTTTCTCGGGAAAAACACTCCGACGCTTAAGTCAGCAATACTCAGTATTCTAGAGAGAGAAGCTCTTAAAGAGTAACTGCAGAGAGAGAAGCGTAGTGGAGTTAATTACCTTGTATGAAGGTGGTTGGGGGCTATAAATAGCCCCGTGCACTGACACTAGCCTGCACATGCGTGCATCCCATTGGATCACGTGTCACAGCTCACATGGGTGTGTCTCCTCAGCTTGGATCTTGTGGACGTATGAATGGACCCATTGAGCGTGATTCAGATTGAACGTTAAGCTCTATCCTGTGGAAGTGTTATTAGGCCTGTTGGGCATGACCCAGGTTGAATATTGGGCCCAATCCCAACAATATGGAACTAGAAACTCTTCTTCAAGGAATATACTATATATTGGCGATTTATCCTCCAACTTATAATTAATTGAGCATGTTAATTAGTAAAATCCTTCTGCTGGATCAAAGGAAATCCAAAGTTGTTGACATTCGGTTTCAGTGATTGGTATCTATTCCCTCAGTTTTGTTTTGCATAAGGCTAATTAATTTTTGTGTAACCCCTTGTGGATTGAAGCCTTTGCTTTTTCCAGGAAAATGTATGGCATCAACAGAAAGATATGGTCTTTTCATCTTCAAGTAGTATTCTTTAAACAAATCTTGTCTTCCCGTGTCTTGATTTACGGGCAAGGACAAAGGAAATGTGTTTATAAGCAGTTTGGTTCATAGAAAATGTGTTTTAACTTTTAAGTTAAGAAAATTTTAGTCAATCAATAAAGAGAAAATATGTGGACAATGAATTGGAAAAATTGGAAATTGAGTCCTTTTTTTTTTTTCAATACGAAGGGAATTAGGAAGAAGTTGGAAATTGGAAAATTTTAAAAAGAAAATTAGAGTTTGAATATTGACGTTTTAAAAAAAAAAATTAAATTGCATTACAGTACAAAACAAGGCAAAATTAATTTAAATTTAAATTTTGAATTATTTTCATAATATATTTTATCAACCAACTTGTATACACGCACGCATAAATTAGGCTGCTTTTAACTCAAGAATGTAGAAGGGGCTTACTTTGGAAACCCAAAGTATTTCTTGCTTTGCAATATTGTCCATCTTTTAGCAGTTTACGAATGGCAGTGACATTTCAAAAATATTTCTTAGGGATATGTCAAAGCCAAAGAATTTTTGTTTACATTTGATGATGACTTGTATAATAGCTTTCTAGATTATTTCGTCACCATCCCATTATTTGTATTCTAAGACTCAAATTCCAGCTTTTAACCATACGAGGACAAAGAGATTTTGAGTTAAATAATTTAAATTCAAACATTGTAAATAAAATTTTTACAAATAAAAAAAAGGGGTTTTTTTAAGAGCCCACGTAAATATTAGTGTATTAAATACATTTAATTATCATAAATTTATATTAAAAAATAAAAATTAATTTTTAATTTATC